TATATATATATATAAAGAAAATTATCTTTTGCTTATTCAAATTTTGGCATTCGGTCAACATAAAGAAAAAATTACATTTATATAGATGCATTAAATGAGGATTTGGAGGGTATATGTTGAAAATACAATCATGTATTTGACGATTTCTCACTGAATATTTCAAAAAAAAAAAAAAAAAAAAAAAAAAACTTTTTTTCAGAGTAATTAGGTGTCGTTTATATGCAATCAGTTTTAAGAATCTTGTAAATAGAAATTTATTAAATTCTGAAATTTAGAAATTAATGATAGATATTAAAACTTATTTCCTTAATAATTTGGCCTAAAATAAAGATATTTAAATTTATGGAATTAAATTTTATTAGGAAAAATTTTGCCCAATAAAATTGAGAACTAATTAGAAATTAGAAAAAAGCTTACTGGTTCCTTGGCGATATGGTCATCAGCCTTGATGGAAGAAGCAGAGGAAGAATAATTTGAGGCCGAGCTTTCTGGTGCTGCAGTGAGAACAACGCCGTCAGCCTCGGAGTCTAAGACGGCGGAGACGGCGGCGGAGCTGGAAGAAGACGAAGGAGAAGACCATGAGGATGAATACTGTTTGGAGTTGTGAGTTGCAGCGAGAAGGAGGAGAAGGAGAAGAGGAAGAAGGATGAAGAATAATAGAATAGAAGAAGTATAAGAGGAGGAGGAGGAGGAGGTTCTCATGGCGGTAGAAAGAAGGAATTGCAAGATGAGTGGTTTAATAGGGTGAGGCGAGTTTGAAAGGCGAGGACTTTTTAAGGCGGTGGCCCGCCGAGCATTGGAAGAGAGCTTTGTTAGGGGAGGCAAGTGTCGAGCGGGTCGTGTTGGTTCTAAGCGGCAGGGTTTGGAGTTTGGGGGGGGAGAGAGATTTATTTAGGAAGATTTAGATACATGCAACCGGATTCCTATGTATTTACATATTAGGAAAAACTATTATGTTTACAAAAAATATTACGTGCGGACCCGAAGTCCACAAATAGGTCAAAAAAGGAGAGCCAAGGCGGACGAGACGGGATCTGGCCCCTTCCCTCTCCTCTACTCCTACTTGCAGATCTATGGGTGCACTTTTTTTTTTTATAGATATTTCTATTTTGATATGAAAATTTTTTATGGTATAAATGTAAAATATAATATTTTGGTATTAGATAATTACATCATATTTGTCTTACTAGAGTACGAAATACAACTTATATATATGAACTGTGCTTTGTCGCATATACAAGGAGAGCAAGCGCCTTTCACTTCCATAGGTTGATCGAGAACATGAAGACTGTTCAACAGATGATGCCAGCTTTCCCATACAAAACCTTCCTCTGCAACAACCGCTACTAGAGCTTCCAAAAGCTTCATCCGTATCAGAAGCTTTGGAAGATTTCTCGCAGCTCTTTAATGGCTTCTATAGCCTACATGATCTACAGAGATTTGATAAGAATCCACTTATTGGCCACCCAATTTGATGTCTGCAACAAACAAATCATGATGGCAATGATTGCAACGGCTACTTCCTCCCACAGCTCTCGCAAAAAGAGCCCTCTGATTCTATTAACCTAAAGCACTAGAAGCATGATGAGATGAACAGTAAAGAAGAGATTAATGGAAGGTTACAGAACTTCTATGGACAGTTTCATAGCTCTCATTACAGCTTTCCAAAACAGCAATTCTTGCGCCTGCCGCAGCCTATAAACTCTCACTTAGGGTTATGTGATTTCGATCAGAGGATACATAGTATTTATTATGGTATGGCTCATATATCATATAGGGATATACGTTAGATCGAAGCGGAGCGGAAGAATCGTCCAAATTGGGAAGTTACGTGGGTTGGAGTGCGGGGGCAAGACCCCGCGGTATGGTACAAGGGTAATGTTGTAATTACATATTGTGTTTAGGGTTTACTTGTGGGGTTATAAATAGACAAAACTTTTCTCTGAAGACCTAGCCTTCAAACTCCTTTGCCAAATCTTCAAATCGTCCTGCGCCGGCAAAACTTTTTCATGCACCGAAATTTTTCTTGCCCTCCAACCTCTCTCTGATACCACTTGTTGAGAAAATTAGGGGCGAAGAAAAACAATAATCAACACAAATCCAGAAGAATACAAAGATTTAACGAGGGATTCGACAATGTGCCTACGTCCTCGGGAGCAGAGCGGCGAATTTCAATATTTCACCGTATTCATTCGCTGTTCTGAAAAGAGTGATACCTCATGGGGTTACTAACAGACCTATTTATAACCTCAGGAATAAATCCTAAGCACAATATATAATTACAACATTACCCCCGTACCATACCGCGGGGCTTTGCCCTCGCACCCCAACCCACATAACTTCCCAATTTGGACAGATTCTTCCGCTCCGCTTCGATGCATCGTCTGTCCCTATATGATATATGAGTCATACCATAATAAATATTCTGTATCCTCTGATCGAAATCACAGAACCCTAGGTGAGAGTTTATAGGCTGCGGCAGGCGCAAGAATTGCTGGTTTGGAAAGCTGTAATGAGAGCTATCAACCGTCCATAGAAGTTCTGTAAGCTTCCATTAATCTCTTCTTTACTGTTCATCTCATCATGCTTCTGGTGCTTTAGGTTAATAGAATCAGAGGTTCTTTTTCCGAGAGCTGTGGGAGGAAGTAGCCGTTGCAATCGTTGCCATCATGATTTGTTTGTTGCAGACATCAAATTGGGTATCCAATAAGTGGATTCTTATCAAATCTCTGTAGATCATTGCCATCATGATTTATGTGTTCTTAAAGAATTGCGTTATATATAAATAAACATTAAATCTAGATTTTTTGTTATTATATAAAAATTTAGAAGTCAAATATGTAGACGTACAAGAAATGTGGCATGAATATTAATTTCCTTTAAAGGCGGGATTTGCAAAAATAACACAATTCTTATATATTTATAAAACAATATAATTAACTTATTATTTTATGTCTAATTTTCTTATGGGCTTTAGTAGTAATATGTTATGATTTTACATGAGACTATTGAGATTTACAATAATCCCATGACATTGAAATATATTGGGTTTTAGACAAGTTTTTATTTACAAAAAGAATAATACTATTATTTGTGCAAAAAAATGAATTTATTGTACTCTTGATAATTAAAATGTTAAAAATCATTATGAACTTTAAATTCCAGAAGAATCCTTACTGAAATAACTTTAATAAAACTCATTAGAGTAGAAATATTACTCTTATATTGGTGCTATCTTATAAGAAAATACTCCATATTTGGAATTTCATTGGATTTAGGGAAATAAACTGCTTTAATGTCCTAACTTTCTCATTGCCATCGTGAGGGGCTAAAGAAGAAAATTGTTCCTGATAATGACCGTTAAAATTTGTTAATTTGTTAACCCTAGGTTCTTAGAATCCAAATCAGGGGAATTACATTCACATTCTAGATTTACCCTTCACAATTAAAATAGGATTTTCATTTCTGCAAAACCAGTTAGATGCTTTCAAAAATCAACAACAATCGAACCTTCAGAGTAGACTCGAAACCAGAAGACAAGAAAATTTTCACACTTTCAGAGTACTCTAATTCAAAGGATTGATACACAAACTATGGTCCATATACTACTTGGAAGACACATGTACTTATGTGATTTGTCAATACTTCGAATCATTTGGTTCTTCTCAGAAAATGATGGTCAATAGTTAGGCCATGGTGCACTCAATTATAAATTTTGTGGACATCTCAATTAGGATTGTGATTAACCATGATGTGGAATCTTCTGAAGCTTTGTTTGGTAAAGATCTTATTGATGAGCTACGCATTATTCTTCTAAGGACATCAATTTTGTTGATCACCAAAATATAAATCTAAAAGTAAAAGAGATAATACAATGAATTATCTGAGGGAAAAAGCTGATGTTAATAAATTTCTCATTTTTAGATAAAATATTTTGTTTCCAATAAAGATTTTCGACAGTTGAGCGTCGCAAAAAATATGCTAAAAAACCAATTGAACACTCAAGTATTTAAATAGTAGAGTCTCCACAATACGTCCCACAATCAAGGCAAATTGAGAAGCCAAATTATTTCGCAATTTTCAAATAAACTACAACCATTAAAAATTTCACAAAATCACCTTTAAAAAATTAGCATAATTTTTTTTTTTATTTGAGATAACCAAGCAAACAAAAGTTTATGGTTTCTAACAAAAAAAAAAAAAAACTATGAGATGAATCCATAAGTTTATACACAATTGTTACAAATTTCGTTTCCTCAAGTCTTTCCCAGGATATGGCAAGAATATTACAACGACATTTTAGAGATTGGAATAAACAAAAATGATGGATATTAAAAAGCAATTTCTTATCATAAATGTAAAACACGTGTTACAACAGAGAAGAAAGAAAAAGCTCTCCACGCAACAATCATAGATATAAATATGTATATATTTAAAAGTAATGAATGACCAGAGGCTATTATATGAGCCCCGGTCATCCCTTATTCGCCTAAAAATTCAAGTACCACACCCTACATTCAGAGGGAATCGAATCTCAGACCAGGGGGGACTTATAAGTGACAAGCAGATGCCCGACCAACCGATCTAAGTATGCGGCGCAAATATATATATAAATATATATAGCTCGAAATTAAAAAAGAAATTATATAATTATTTATATTGTAAACTTATATATATATATATATATATATATATATATACACTATACGTATCCAATCAAACTACAAAATTTGAGTCTGCATATCTTGTAAAAAATTTGCATTGTTAGCTCCAACCCCAAATAGCAATCCAAAGCTTAAGGAACCTTTTAACATATCTAGGAATCCATTTTATTGGCATCCAATGCACTATTTCTTGATTCTCCATAAAACTACTTATAACACTGATTGAAAGGGCAAGACCATGCATTGTACTTAGCATTTCATACTTAATACTCCCAAAAAATGCTAGCATATGAAATATCATACACATAAGATTTATCTTTTTCTGATTGTGGAGCATAATTGCAACTTAATTGGAAGTGATTAGCTAATGTCATTTAGACAACTTCCGAATTAATCATACCAAATTTTTCCAACATACTCTTTATATACAACTTTTGAGAAAGAAAAATTCTACCTTCTAACAATATCAGATAATTTGAATCCCCAATTCTCTTCCTGGCAAACGTCATATCTTTCATTTCAAATTCTCTACAAAATTGTTTCTTTAACAAATCAATCTCATATTTGATTTTATTGGCTATTAGCAGACCAACAACATATATCAGCAAATACACCAAAACCTTATTATATGCAGACTTTTTTAAGTATAAACAATAATATGATTTGTACATATCAAACCAAGTGCTTTGATAAAATAGTCAAATCGCATGTGCCATTGCCTTAAGAATTATTTTAAGCCATAAATGGGTTTATTCAGCTAACATACATGATGATGATTGCCTTCTTTGAATCCCTCAGGTTGTTGCATGTAGATAATTTTCTATACAATACCATGTAAGAATGTTGTTGTAGCATCCATTTAGTCAAGCTCCAAGTTAAATTTAGCTACAATAGATAGAAGTTCTCTTATAAATGTTTTCTTGACAACAAGTGAAAATTTTTCATTATAATACAATCCTTTATTTTGTGTATAACATTTTGCTACCAATCTAGCCTTAAATATAAGCTTGAGATCACTATGAGTTTACATCTTCCTTTTGAATATCCATCTACAGTCGAGGACCTTAGCATCTTTTGGCTTCTCGACTAGCTCCCAAGTATGATTTTTGTGTAATGATCTCATTTCATCTTTTATAACATGCACCTAGTGTCTAGAATCTTTGCTAATGATTAACTCTTGATATATAGGACAATCATTCACATTCTTTATTAAATAAAATAAAGGCTTAAGCAATTATGTCTGTAAAACCAAATTTCTTTGGTGGTTTGGAATCTC